ATAAAGCCTATGTGTCATAAATTCTTAAATAGAAATAGAAATTAGAATTTCATTAGAAATAGAAATCTGGAACCAATCAGGTGAGTAAATTGATCAAGTTATTGATTCAGTTGACTAAGAATAAGTCTTTCACTAACAAATTTGGATTAAGAAGAGTGATCTCTATGATCAAGGAGATGTTTTGATTGATGATGCTAGTTGTGTTGCTCTTCAATAGAAGAGTAGCTTTATGCCTCTGTTAGTTGGTATTGTTGGTGCATGCTTGTGTTTATTCATGATAACATGCATCTCACTTTTTTTGCATTAGCTCGTGCATTTTTTGTTTTGTGTTTTATATATTTTTTTTTTATTTGTGTGTTTGGTGCATTCATGTTTTATCAACTGAAAAAAAAAATGAGTTTTTTTTTTTGGACAATAAAGCATGATATATGAGTTATTTGAACATTTGTACTGTAATCAAGTATGAGTTTAACTAATGTGCTTTATCACATTTTTCATTACTTGTTTAGGTTTTTATGCAAATTTAGTATAGGTTTTTTCATTACCATCTTCATTGCATACACTATGATATTGTGAGTGGAACTTGACCATGTGTGTGAGATTTGGGATGGCATATATATATTAGTAAGGTGACTTTGAACATGACTTGACCTTATTCGAGTAAAACTAATCTTAAGTATTTCCTTAAAGAAAAAGTTCTATATCTTATACACTTCTTCTTAGCTTGTTTGACTCGAAAAATTAAGTTTGAAAGATTTCTCATAACCTGGTGCATATGGTAATTTGACTTGGGTTAACTGGCCTAAAACTCATTACAAAAGTCATCTTAGTCACTTAATAGATAAGAGATTGCACATACGATAAGAAAAAAATTAATAGAAAAACTAATGACGTTCAAAATTTTAAAAACAATACTTAAATACTTAAATTCAGGGAAGAAGAATAATATACATAAAAATGAGCTTTTTCTATGTCCTCTAGTATGCTATTATTGGTTTGACTTTTATAAGAAAAGGAATAAATTTATTGACTGTGATGTTGAGCATGTCATTTCTCTCAAAATTAGGTTTGGAGTTCTACTTATAAATGATTGGTGGCACTTTACACACAGGGGTCATTATACAATTAACTCAATTTTGACTTGAACTAATTGTGTGAGAAAGTTTACTGCTTATTGATTATGCTTGTGCATGCTATCGACTGTATCTTCAAGTTATTATACTGTGGTTGGTTTTTGATCATGATAAAGAAAAAAGGGGAAAAAAAGGATAATTGTATTTGATATAGTTCCCTTCGTCATGTGTGACAGGTGATGGCACTACATAATAGCTTTTCTTTGAATGGCTTTTGGCATTTTAGGGAGAGTTTACAGTGAGGGAGAGATGATGGCCTTTCTTATCATTTTGAATGCAAGCTTTTTTAATTTTTATGTTTTATGATATTAATATTTCAGTAGGTGTTTTGATTAATATTAGTATTACTTCTCAATCTAGCTAGAATATTTATGATAGTCTTTCAATTGTTATATTTCCTGTTTCACGTGCTTTTATACTTTGTATTTGAGTTGTTGATTTCAGAAAATAGGTTTAACAAGAAATACAAGAGACAAACATTTGATTAGTTTTGTTTTTACTTCCTTGACTTGTATTGTCATAGAATGTCAAAGGGGGAGTTTGTCAGGTTTAAATTTGTATTGGCTATTCTTTAGATAAAATAATTATTATAAAAAAGTTGTAAAAGTCAATGTGTCTTTCAGGATGTTGTATAGAAAAATTAGGAGTCTTTAAGTTCAAGTATGGAACATGTTGGGATAGAGTGTGAAAACAAATTACAATGGAAGATATTGCAGGGACTATGAGGACAAAAGATTGGAGTTGGAGGTGGGGATTGGTGGAGGATAGGGTTGGGGAAGAAGATGAACAGTTACCTAGTTCTTTATTATTTTTTATTTAACTAAATTTATTTTAATAGATAGTTACTTATTTATCCCTTTTAAAATATAAAATATATAATCAAACTTAATTTTTGGGTCAACTGACGGAAATATGGATGGAAACTGTCCAAAAGGACTTCTGTCGCAACATTTTGAAAGCTTTGGGTGACGGTTACAACAAATTAAAAGTTTGAAGAAAGTCAGCTTATATTTTAAAGGTTTGGGGCCTCTACTACAATTATCCCTTATTATGGACTTAAAAGAAAAATTCATTAAGACACTTTTCTTTAATCTTCCACTCTCTTCTCTCTTCCTTCAATTATAAGGTTATTTACTCATTTTTTGTTGCATACAAATTGGTTGAAACAAGAGAATAATAACATGAGATAACAAGATCCTGGTATCTTTGCATCGTTTTGGTGCAACATTTTGCATAAACACAAAAATCTACCTTCAGTGATTTTACTTGAAACATTTTTTATATGTAAAAGGAGAAAGGAATGAAGTTCTTTTCATCAGATTTCTAGAAGAACTTTATAAAATGGCAACCGTATATGCCGTCACAGAATTGTGCATAAAGTAGTAGAGATGCTCCCAACACTGAGGGCAAATTCAAATGCTTTGAATGCAACCTTCCATTTATTCTGAAAACAAAATCATAAAAATCTATCAACAGATATACAATATATTTAAACAAAATTGAAAAAAAAAATAAAAAATATATTAGTCTCCTTCTTTGTTATATTGTTAAGTAACGTTTTATGTGACTTTCTCCTATCTATCTTTTATTTATTATGAAATGTTTACAATTTCATAGTGACTTTGCTTTCAATCATTCATTAAAAAAAAATATTGAGAGAAATAAAGGCATAAAAAAATTGCATTTTTTCAATCAAGAATCCTTGTATTGTGCAGGAGAAATATCCTAAACTAGTGCATATGACATTACACAAAGAGAGAGTGCATGATCAACATATGTGCACACCTAAGGTGCATATATTCCTTGTGCAACTATTACTAGGTCATAAATAATGTGAAAACTATGTGTTTCAATGGTTAAGATTAATGAAAAAGACAGAGACAAAAAGTGATGAGCATATGATCTGACAAATATTTGAGAACAAAGCACAAAAGTTATTGAGTCAGTTAATTCTTGGATTTATTCTTGAATAATGTTAAAAGTTGATAATTACAAGAAAAGGGGAGATATTTAATCTTCATTTCCTTATTATAAACTATTGGAGTTTAGGTTTCCAATTAAAATAGGGCATTTCCTTTTGAGGATATATTAATCTGACTCTATTAATTTATCTGTAATTAATTGACTTTGCAAAGCATATTCTAATGACTTTATCGTCGCTTTGATGCATTTCCAAATCATGAATAGTAACGCGTTTGTTTATGAAAATTAGAATGTAAACGAATTGAAAAATAGCACAATAAACAAGTTTAAGTTGTTTCCACGAAAGTAAGAGATTTAATACTAAAATATTGAGGATGATGAAAATAATTAAGTATATAGTTATATATAGATACAAATATAGTAAACGCGTCGTTTATGAAAACTAAATTGAGAACTAAGTAAAAAAACAAAAAAAACTATTGTATGTCGTTTTCTTGTCAAAGTAACTAAATTAATACTAAAATATACTTGAGAACAAGGAAAATAATATTGCCAAAATTTTCTTGAGAACCAGAAAAAAATAATATTCCTCAAAAGGTTCGTGAACATTCTTAAAGACGTCTAAGCATGTATGAGAATGTGCTCTCAAAGAAATTTTGTCAATTTTGGAACAACCCATCTTGTCCTATCTAATTTTAACCAGTTTAAACGGCTGGTGGTCACTAAACATTTAGTGAATTTCATGTTGGACATTAAATTTAATTTGCTTGAAGTTGGTCATTGAATTTATACTTCAATAAAATTGGGACATAAATCACAAGATACGTCTAAATGACATTTATAACTGGAAAATAGAGTTCAGCAACCAACATTAAATTCACTAAAAATCAACCACTTCTCGTGTTCTTACCTAGTTTTAGCCAACATAACAGAATTTCAATAGTTTTAACTTCATATAATTTAGCTGAGAACTTGTCAAACCTGCATTACAAAAACAAAAACCGAATACTAACCTTTGCAGATGTGGCCGGAACAATAGCATTTGATGTATTGGGGCTCGGACTCGGAGGATATGCAACACATGAATATGTTGGCCTAGAAGTATTGATAGAAGCAGCAGTTGCTGGAATCATTGTACCCGATTTGTGAAGTCTGGATTGTGGAGTCATTTGACCTTTTGGCTGCAAGAAACAAATATTTGTTAGGGTATTCATGCCAAAAAAAACTATGTTCCTTCAGCTCAATCCACCATATTATATACTTGCGCTACTGCAATAGGATTTTATTGTTCAATAACCAAGTAAAATATTCTTTATAAGGTAGTCTGCTATCTTATTTTGACAATATCGGAGCTGCACTTCTAAAAAACATTTCTGGTGAAAAGCTAAACACATTAAAAATGTGAAAAAATCAATTATTGTGATTAAATAGCAATGAAAATATATTATCTGCAACATTGCTTACTAAAAAAAAAAAAGAGTATTCTTTTCAATCTTTTCAGCGGTAATTACATGAAAATGCAAAGAAAAATTTCAAAAAGTTCAATAGATGGATAGTACAAGTTTACCGGACAACATATGTGAATTTAAATAATGGGGCAAAAATTAAAGGATTGTTATACTGAGTAAAAAAGGCTTTAACATTTTAGACAGTGAATCCACTTTGACAATTATTTCAAGTTTCAACCATAAACATCACACACACACACACACACACACACACATAGATAAGACAACAATTTGGAGATTTTTCCCTAATTCTGAAACTCTTCACTTTATGATAGTATTTTTATTTGAATGTTTTCTTCATGAAACTAGGTTACAAATAAGAGAATTTTGACGTGTTCACATTCATAAAAGACATCAACTAGGAGATACTTACGATTATTATAAGCTCTTGTAAGTCATGATTCATGTGATTTTTCTTCTATTCTTACAACTCATTTCAATGGACGGATGATAAAAGTTTCTCAGACATATCAGTAATAAATAAGTTCATTACCCGATTCTTTTTTATTCCTGCTGCTTTTGCCATAGCTGAATTTTTCTTGGATTCCAGCAACGTATAGTTGTCCAAGAACTGGACACGACCACGGTGATTGTGATCACAATTTTTGGACTTGTAACACTCCCGACACAGTGTAAAAGAGCCTAGAGGATTTTCAAAGCATTCGACACAAGAGAAAAATATTCCGGGTATAAATTGTCCACACCAGTCACAAAAAGGCCTTCCACTTTTAATTATGTAGTAAAGTGTCATCACCTCCCCGAAATCTAACGTGCCATTGTGGTCACGATCTAGCTCGTGAAAAAAGTAAGTATTGTACATACGCGAGTGGCCTTCCTGTCTCATGAATGCCAAGAACTCGTGCAGCTGGACACGTCCATCTCCATTCATGTCAAGTGATTTGAAGAATTCATATGCCAGGGCTTGAACTTCTGGAGAGCCAGCTCTGTAGTGTGCTCTTGCAATTTCACGCAATTCTTCCATCTTCGTCCACGATAGAACAGACTGCCAAGAACATGCTTATAAAAGAATATGTTGCCTTGTTTCTAGCACCAGTTGGTGTAAATTAATGATGATTAGAGATTAAAATAATGCACAAGAATGAGATATATGATATGAGAAATGTGTTGAATAAAACTAATTCCTCAATTATGACGCTATTACCTCATAATGTCAGACCAGTCAAGAAAGGAAACAAAAGAAATAGTAAATGTATTTAGCACTTCATAGGCAACTTCAATTTTTCAAATTATTCAGGTAAAAATTAAGTTTATAAGACGTTAAAAAAGAAAACATTCACTTGTTATACAAATGTCATCCAGCTCATTGAAAATTTACCAAATTGTAGCAACCCCTGCCTACACATGAAGAAAAAAATTTAGTTACAATGATGACAGTAAATCATTTTCTTCTTCTCCTTTTGTTTTTTTGTTTTTTTCTTGTTTTTTTTTTTGGTTGCCAATATTATTGGTAAACAATTGAGAATGAGCCACAACAAAAAATGATATTGTTGGAGCCCTCGGTCATGACTCCCTTAGATGGAGAAGAAAAAAGTTTACACTCATGAAAGATGTACATACTACTTCCATTACATAAGATTGTAAATTTTTCTTGTATTTAAGTCTTAACATTTGGAACACTATCCTTATCGAGTCATCAACTTCCTCACACTGGTTGGTTGAACCATTACTCGATGTTGGCAGTGGTGGCCCTGAATATAGACGAAGTAGGGGATCGCCTAAAGCCCCACTTTGATGAGGGCCCCAAATTATATAAAGTCAATTGGTTGGTTGAAGAAGAGTGGAAATTATATTTATGAAATTCTGTAAAATAGAATTATCATATGCAAACATAAGAAAGTCATAAAAATTGAAAATATAAAAATCTTTAAAATATATATATGCAACAAACTTATTACTTACATTTATTTATCACAAATATTGCTTTCCCTATTTATGATTAAGTTGACACTTTATCTTCCAAACATTCATTTTCTTTTCTTAACCAAACAAAAGGTCTATGTCTCTTCTAATTCCATATCTAACAATCACCCACCATTATTTTTTTCAAGCCAACAAGATATAAATTATCTTCCTTTGTATTAAAATTTAGAAGATTCAATGCAGTTTGGTTTGATCTAACTACCATTGTTACAATCTTACAGGTTTCTTTCTTTCTCTTTATCTTCGAAACATATACTACAGAGTACATATATTGTTATTATATTGTTTTGTTTTAATCTCATGATAATAATAATTTTAGATGTTTGCTGAAAATAATTTGAATTTAATAATTCTTTGTTCTTATTCATATAGATACTTCTTATTTTAAAGTTAATTTCTTATAAATTAATATAAAATTAGAAGATCGTTTGTATTTGATCATCATTTCATTATTTTGTTACACTATCTTTTGTAGTCACATTCTCTAATTTTATACAAAAATCCCTCAAATGTATATTCAATCTTATTTGAAATATTTGTAGTGAGAAAATAATCATACAAACAAATATACTCCTTTGCCATTGCATTGTAATTATGTTTGCCAAACTTTACTTGTAATTTGTATTACTGGTTGAAATTTGACATTTTGTTAATTTTCTCTTCAAATTTTGAGGCTTATTTGTCTGTGTTAGATTCTTTATAATTATATTAAGTCACTATTTGGTATCGATTAAAATCTAGATTTTAATCTAAGTGAAAATCAATAATTAATTTTAACCATATATTTTATGTACACTCATGAAAGATGTACATACTACTTCCATTACATAAGATTGTAAATTTTTCTTGTATTTAAGTCTTAACATTTGGAACACTATCCTTATCGAGTCATCAACTTCCTCACACTGGTTGGTTGAACCATTACTCGATGTTGGCAGTGGTGGCCCTGAATATAGACGAAGTAGGGGATCGCCTAAAGCCCCACTTTGATGAGGGTCCCAAATTATATAAAGTCAATTGGTTGGTTGAAGAAGAGTGGAAATTATATTTATGAAATTCTGTAAAATAGAATTATCATATGCAAACATAAGAAAGTCATAAAAATTGAAAATATAAAAATCTTTAAAATATATATATGCAACAAACTTATTACTTACATTTATTTATCACAAATATTGCTTTCCCTATTTATGATTAAGTTGACACTTTATCTTCCAAACATTCATTTTCTTTTCTTAACCAAACAAAAGGTCTCTGTCTCTTCTAATTCCATATCTAACAATCACCCACCATTATTTTTTTCAAGCCAACAAGATATAAATTATCTTCCTTTGTATTAAAATTTAGAAGATTCAATGCAGTTTGGTTTGATCTAACTACCATTGTTACAATCTTACAGGTTTCTTTCTTTCTCTTTATCTTCGAAACATATACTACAGAGTACATATATTGTTATTATATTGTTTTGTTTTAATCTCATGATAATAATAATTTTAGATGTTTGCTGAAAATAATTTGAATTTAATAATTCTTTGTTCTTATTCATATAGATACTTCTTATTTTAAAGTTAATTTCTTATAAATTAATATAAAATTAGAAGATCGTTTGTATTTGATCATCATTTCATTATTTTGTTACACTATCTTTTGTAGTCACATTCTCTAATTTTATACAAAAATCCCTCAAATGTATATTCAATCTTATTTGAAATATTTGTAGTGAGAAAATAATCATACAAACAAATATACTCCTTTGCCATTGCATTGTAATTATGTTTGCCAAACTTTACTTGTAATTTGTATTACTGGTTGAAATTTGACATTTTGTTAATTTTCTCTTCAAATTTTGAGGCTTATTTGTCTGTGTTAGATTCTTTATAATTATATTAAGTCACTATTTGGTATCGATTAAAATCTAGATTTTAATCTAAGTGAAAATCAATAATTAATTTTAACCATATATTTTATGGGTTCCACAATTTTAAATCCATATATTTTATCCACTTCTATCAAAATCTACTAAAAAATTGATTTTAGGGGTTGTTTGAGCCCCATTTTTTTCAAAAAAATGTATTTTGAGATAGTGTTATGATGGAGAATGTGGTTAAAAAATAAGGAAAAATTTTGAAGGTACATGTAATATTATTTTATTGAGAAATGTATTAAAGAATGTATTTTGATGAAAAAATTGGGTTCAAACAAGGGTTTAATCTTCATCAAACATGGGCTAAAACTCTATACTAGGAGATTCAAAATATATGGCCCCAATTTGAAATTGACATAAGGCCCCCAAAATATCAGGGCCGGCCGTGGATGTTGGTTGCCCTCTTTAACCCCTTGATTCGCTAACCAATCTGTCGCTGAAATTTATTCTCTAAAATTGTGGCTGGGAAACATATACTCAATTGGAAGCAGGTAAATAAAATTTCCAAGCTCAATTTGAAGATACATGAAGAACTATGCAGAAAGTCGTATGTATAGTCTGGATGTGCATCTTTCATATCTTTCAAATGTTAATTAGCTGTAGAGTTTTGTTTCTTGTGTCTGAATTTGTTTATCAATTGACTTTGACGAAGTAATGCCTAAATTTATATTATAGTTATAATTATCTACCTAAATAATTGGCAATTAGTCAGATCAGAGATAAAAGAAAATAAAACTATTGCTGGCTCGAGGCTTCCAGGCTGTTGTATTACGAATGTAATCCGTACAAAAGTATATATACAAAATATATGTTGGAAACACGATCTTACTATCAGTTTGAAAAATCTATAAATGATTTATAAATAGAAATATTAAGAGAGATGATAGTGGATCCCACAAGAAAATATATATGATATTAATATATTGTTAGTAAGTCGATAGTTATAACTATATTTCTTTTTGTTGGGAATTTGATAAGTGTATATTTGAATTGAAAAATATAGACATTTAATAGTTTTTAATCAATTATTTTATAGCCTATTTTATTTTATATTTCGTTTAGATTGGACGTGAAATTGAAAGATAGAAATGAAATCAATGTCAATGTACCCTTTGGTCCCAATGCCATTTCCATCAAATATACCACCATCATTGTCTCCCTCATCACCAAGATCAATGATGAAGGTTGTCAGGATAGAGGCGAATAGGTGTGCGACTACTGCTTGGGCACCGATAAGGATTTGGCAATGGACAGGATCAAACGAATTTGGTGATCAAGCGATATTAGAGAGAAATTATAAAGAGTGTTGGAAGCAAGTAGGTGAATTGATGAGAGAGAGAAAAGATAAATTATTATCTAGAGAGAGAATGATTTAATAATAATTATTTTTACCATTAAAAATTTGTATTATCGTCTAATTTTTGTGTAAGCATACCTTAAACTTGATTTTTGAAATGCAATCTTCAAAAACCTTCCTCCCTCTAATCTTAACCTATGCTCATGTTTTGTTCATTTGTTAAACGGCCTTTTAATTTGTTAGCTTACTTTGTCTTTTGTTGGCCTATCTTATGTTAGTTTGTTTCTTGGCCCATTTTACCTAGCCCTAAAACTATATATTAGTCCCCATTGGGAAGAATGTTGTGCGTTTGCAAGAGAGAGAAGAGGCCGTTGTGTATACCTCTGTGTACCGTTTGTTGTGACATAAATTGCTACCTTTTTCTTCTCCTTCTTTATAATATTGTATCCGCCATTTCTATCCTTTGTGGGTAATATTATTGGGCAACCATAGTGAAGGTTTGTTTGGGTTGAAAAATTATTGTGGAATTTGGTTTATAAATTGAACCCTATTTGTGCACGAAATCAGTCTTGGTGTAGTTTTGGCTTTACTTTTGTTACTGCATAATTATTTATTACCTAGTATTATTTTGTGCAATATTGATTATCGATGCTCCGCAACAGGGCCTGATTTAATGCTGGTTTGGTTTTAACGTATATAAGAATATTGTCTCAACGTATTCTTAAATGGATAAATATATATGTACAAACTTTGGTGTACAACATCTTTCGCTTACTCTCACATATGTGCGGGTTCCAGTTGTATTTTAAAAATGACGGCT